GGGGTATTGGGCTCTCTGGGAGCCCGCACCCGGGAGGAGAGAAGTCCGGGGCAGATCATGGAAGTGTCCGGCAGGGAACTCCTCGAGCGCTTCCACTTCCCCAAGGCTATTAGGGTTAGGGGTTTAGGGGTTTANNNNGGTTTAGGGGCCTAAATAATTTCCTATACTATTTTTGGGGGTTCCTTATTATAAGTACAATATAATGGGCCCCACCAGAAGGCTACGCGAGCCTGGCTCGCGTTCTTCGCACTGGTCGTGTGCTTGGTCGTTGCATTCTGCATCCCCTCATACTTTGTCTGTGGGCAACAGGAACCTAGGCAAGCTTTGGGATGTGTTCTACTGTCCATTTCAGGTTGGTTCGAGATCTTGCTTCGGATATGGGAAAAGTAAAATGAAATATCTATATATGTAATATAGTAATATGTTAGAAAATAGAAATATGGAATTGTAAAAACATGTTAGTAATGGTGGTCTTAAGATAAACACACATCCGTACAAGAGTTCACGTAAAATAAGATGGTAATGCAATGGTATAATATTCTGGGTGACGCTTTCTGATATCCTAATAATACGACAGCATAGTAATGCAACATATACAGTAATATGGTAATATATGAATATATTGACATATCAATATATTAATGTACTCGTAATCTCTAGAAAAATAGTATTATATATGATTATGAATATGCATAAAAATATCACTATACATAGCTATTTTTTGTCTTTTAAAGTATCATGAGCAGTAGTAATAATACAGTTTCCCAGAAACCTCGAAGAGCCAACCAAAGGAACTCGACCGCACAAAAGGCAAGGAGCTGCATGTCGTGAGCTCGTTGGAGGCCCTTCAAGCTGCGCAAGCTGACCGGGGGCTGGACTGCGGTCTCGAATGCGAGGGCGCTGTGGGCAAAAAAGTTTACGTGGACCAGACGTTTTACCAAAAGCTCCTAGTGTACTACCCTGAGAATCCACCCCCGATTGGGCCGGAGCTGTTGCTTGCTGGCAGCGCTTTCCAAGAATTGTGGTGCCCCGCTGAGGTATACCACGATTTTTGGTACTTCGGCTTATTGTTTCTCAGCATGTGCCAGCTTGTGTTGATCCCGTTCCTGATCCTGCCCCAGATTGTCCGGTTGCGACTTCACGCGGAGATGCAGCGCGAAGTGGATGCAGGGCGATGCCAAATCTACCCCATGGCCTTGGCAGGAGCTACTTGGGAGCACTTCGCAAATACAGAGTTCAAGGATCACCGGACTCAAGCCTGGCAGACCTTCCCTGGCATGGAGTGCCTGTCTTCCGTGATCTCACTGGTTGGGGTCGCTCTTGGACTGGCCAGTAGTGGAGGACTTGTCCGTTACTGCTGGATCTCTGTCCCGGTGGTTTTTCTTATTGGCATGGCTATCCGTCTGCTTCACCAGATCCACGCCGGCGTGATCTTCCGGAAGCGTTTGCTTCTGGGCCGTGCGGAGCTCTTCGTCTGCGCTGCGCCGGAGGCAAACATGGTCTCCATCGTTTGCGATGGCCGTGTGTTCTTCTACAAAAACATCGGCGACATTCCACGGGTACCCCCTGAGAGCCTGGTGTGGTATAGCTATGAGACCATGGCCTTGGCCAGAACGCAGCTGATTGCACGCAGACACACCGAAACCGAAGACGAGGAAAGCACGCCCAGCTGGTACTTGAACATCATCTACGGCAGCTGCTTTAACAAAGCGAGGACCAATATGTGGCACACCGGATCGAAGCTCTTCCCCGTGGATAACGCCTGTGTGCATGATTTCCAGAACTGGCTTGCTGAAGTTGAGAGGAGGCAGCTCTTTCGCTGTGAGGGAGCTACAGCCCGGCCGGAGAGCCTAGGTTCCCCAGTAGCACCCTTTTGCCCTTTTTGGTTAAAGAACCAAATAGTAGGAAAAGGGCACCCTTATTACTATAAGGGGCTACTGGAGAACCTAGGAGCTTCATGCAACCCAGCGACGTGACTTTACTGACGCCCTTCCACGTGCCGGCCGGGGACATGCGGACGCCGCTGAGCACGAACACGATGATGCTCACTGCAGAGGTGGAGAAGGTGGATGGCCTTTATAAGGTCACGATGATCTCCATGTCAGGAGAGGAGGCAGCCAGCTTCAAGTTCACTGAGGGGGACACGCTGGCGGATCTTCAGCACCGTGTCGCCAGCAGGCCAGCTTTCCGAGACTATCAGGTCAAGATCGTCCTCAGTGACGGTACGCAGCTCGGGAACATGGACCCACGCATGGCCCTTCCAGCGTTTTTCGAGAAGGCCCGAGCCAGGTGAAACTTTCTTCCAGCCAGGTCCAACCGGAGAATAAAGGTGCGTCTGGCGCTCTACAAAAGTCAAATCGGCCGCAGCAGACATCAGGGTGAGCCGTTGGAATTCAGGATGGAGCGTTCAGGTTTACGGTTTGGGGTCGAGTGGGAGCCATCAGCCATCATAGTATCATGCACCGAACAAGAGCGATAAAGGCCACAGTAAGTACCAGCCACAGTACGCTTCGAGCACCTGGTATCAATGTATCAAGGCCGTGTCGATCTTCAGCTTCCGCCTTCTCTTGGTCGCTCTTCGGTTTGCCTTCCGGCGCTTCTCCGAGTCAACAGCAAGGCTAGAAGTATGGACTACGACCAGGTTTGTGACTCTTCCTAAAAATAACTTACGGCGACCCATGCAGCTCGGACGACGACCCGAAGAGGCTAAATAAACCCTGAAAGCGAACAAGCCCCAAATATCCAGAAACGAAGCGCACCCCGAACCTCCCTGTGGAGAAAAGGATTCTTCTTCAGCACTACAACCCCACACTAAACTCCCTAAGCCCCTAAACCCTGAACCCCCTGAACCCCCTAAACCCCCTAAACCCTAAACCCTAAACCCCTAAACCCCTAAACCCTAAACCCCTAAACCCCTAAACCCTAAACCCTAAACAAACCCCCCAAGCCCCAAACGCAAGAG